GGGGGCAGGGGACAACAGAGGGAGTGTGTGGGAACCAAACAGGCTAGGACCACTCCTGGCTGTATGCATTTTGTCCATTCCTAAGTTGTGAGTCTTCACCAGCCAAATATATGAATCACTCGAGCTAATGTAAAATTTGCAGTTTCTTTCTTTATTGAATAAACTCTGGCCAAGGAAACCAGTGAGACAAAATCCAAAATACTGTTTTTAGTTATCAACATTTGAAATGATGAAGGCAATGGAAAAGCAACACAAAATTAGATGCCTTGTGAGTATTGTCCAAGCGCCCTCCACTTTTGGAAGCACTGGTCTAATGGTTCTCAGACACACCCACGTCAGGGTCGGGGAAAGCCTGTAATCATTGAAAGTGGGTGTTTGTGTCTCTAGACTAACTATTAGTGAGACTGGAGAAGAAGACGACACCATGTGTCTGAGTGAGACCTTTTCTGTCTCACTCAGACATTATTTAAAGAGCCAACAGCCAACTAAAGCTCGGGGTACAGGGGGCCTGGGATGTGGTAGTTCCTGTATAACCAACTGTTTGCCCGCCTGGAGATTCACTTTCACGAGACGGACACTTCCAAACTTTTAATTGTCGGATAATGAGAGGGTAGCTTGCAGAACGCCAAGCTGCCTTTCTGCTTTCTGTCAACATCCATATATCATGTTACACTAACAGTGGAATAGTTGAACGCTCATTTACATATTAAACACTTCTTAATTGTGCACCAACTGTTATAATGGGCAGAGAAGACAGTATACTGTATATAAATGTTTCACAGCAGACAGACGATTGTATTTATCTCCTTGAGGTAAAGCTGAACACAATGAAGTTATTTATTAACTCCTCTTTCAACCTCCAAGAAGAATAGAAAGGAATGTAACCACCCTGAGATTATTTGTGCATGGCAAGCCCAGTAATAATATAAAAGGTTAGGAAGTTCCTGGCCCCCCTCATCTGTAGGCAGTTGTAAAATCTGTATCTTTAGTCTAGATTTCTTCCCATGCCATATAAATTTAGAAAGATATCCCTCAATACCTTCTGTTTAAATCTTTTGTTTACAAGGAGCAGCCAATCAGAAGCTAACAAGCTATAGGCATTTTGTTCTTGTGTTTGATTTTTAGGCTAGGCTATGCTAATGCTGAGAAAAAAAAATTGATAGCAACAAAGAAAATGTGTTTCACGTCCTTGTTCTTAGTCTCCTTAACTACACATGCTAGGGTGCCATCCCCAGTGGTGCCAGTCCCTGGTGTTGGACAGGTGGGGCAGGGGCTGCAGAACAGCTGGGGACTGGAGGAGGATGATGAAGATGACTATGAAGAGGAAAAAAATCACAACAGTGGTGACGAGCAAGTGGAAGAAGTGACAAAGATGGACGTGGGCGAAGGTGGTTTATTATTTATTTATTTGGACAGTTTAATGTAAAAGTGATGTTTGAACTGGGAGATGTGGTTGAGATATCCGACATTGAAGAGGAGGAGGTGGTCATACTAAACCCAGAGGTGTCAGAAAAACCAAAGTAAGCAAAGCTGTTATTTTCAAATGAATACAGTCAACAGACAAAGGGCTAGGCACATATTGATGTGGTTCTTAATTCATTTTTTATTGCTCTCAGAACTACAGGCTCCAAGTCTCACCAGAAGGGGGCAGCAGCATCCAAGAAACGGCAGAGAAAATGAGGAACGACTGCAGATGGAGATTTGTTCCAAAACGTCAAAAGGTTTGATTATAAACTCTGAGCTGGATTTAAATGAGACTGCAACTCATTAACAAAACATTAACATGCTGTTTCTAACTGTACTGAATACAGATTTTTGGTTATTTGCTTCATTAAAGATTATCAAACCTTTAAACCGTTTAAAGCATCATATGCTCCTGTTCTTCTGCTTCCAGTTGCTCCCATTAGGGGTCACCACAGGTCATCTGCTCCCCATCTCACCTTGTCTTCCTCTGTCACACTAGCCCTCAACATCTCCTCTACTTGTCACTTCCTGGTCACTCCCAATGAAAAACTTAGCATCCTCACCTACACCTCAACTTCCTGTCTACTGTCAGTGCCATCGTCTCCAATCCATACATCATAGCAGGTCTCACTACCATCTTGCCAAACTTACCTTTTACTTTTCCATCCATCCATCTTCACTTCCTCTGCTCTTCTAATCCTCACTGCATAACCTCCTGCAAATCCTGCTCATGAAAACACTCATAAAACTGAATTAAATAGATATGAAACTGACATAACACATTTGTTTGTGCAATGAAAAAAAGTAGACATGAACAGCAAACCTCAGATAATAAGCACAGACAACAATGGGACATACATAGTTTAAATCAGTAAGGAAATTGCACAGATCCTAGAAAAGGATAACTGGCGAGGTGTGTGGTTTAAATCTAAAATATGATTTTACTTTTTAAAGATGATGTAAGAAATTTATGAAGCTTGCAGGTGTCATCTGACAAAATGAAACATGGCAAGTCCACTTATTATATAATTAGTGGGGCGGGATTCTTTTCACTTTGAGTAACTGGTACATTGTGTGCCTAGGGCTTCTAATTGGGATAGATCACAGCCAACATTTTCAGAGAGGTAAGATTATGTAAGCGGCTTCGAACGACCTGGCATCAAAGGCATATACAACAATATAACAAAATAGTTGCTCTCAGACCACAGAATATGGAGTTCAAAGGGCAACAATGCAGTAGTTATGTCCACCTTTTAAATACAGCCTACGCTTGTAACCTAAAAGATCCACAAAGGATCCGTTACAAACGTCAAAGCGGACACACCCAGAGGTCCGGTACCCAAGCTCTGGGAATCAGAGCAATTTTG